GCAGACGGTTATTTTTAAAGTATTAGCTTTAGTTATTTTGTGATTATGCGTTGCTGCCAAGAACGTTATGCGCTCTTGGAAGTTTTCAAGTTGAAGGTCCTGATTCTCAAAAGTCGGTCACATAGCCCAGTGGCTGTGATGGTGCTGAGTGCACTCCTCCCCACATCCCTGGGCTGCAGAATTAGAAGTGTGGAAACATTGGCAAGAATATCCTTGGTTTCATCTCTGTGTGCAGCATGGAACCTCCCAGGAGCATGTTGCCTGTTGACTAATAGCAGATCAGGGCTCATCTTCCATGGTTGTTTGGCTACATGCTATCATGCGAACTCCCCAAACAAGGCAACAGTGAATTATAATTAGACATCAGTAAGAAAGGCAAACAGCTGTTTTCCAAACTTTGGTTTGTATTGTTATTGATAAGGAAAAAAAAATGTTTGCTGTGCGGCGTCCTGAAAATACAGCAATGTTGATGACTGTGCATTGATAAAGAATGTACCAACGATCTTAGATCAGCATCGTCTGTCATTGTGCTTTTTGAATGAGAAAAAAATAATAATCACAAAACAGCAACCACTCAGAATAACTCAGTGTGCCATCTTCATGTGGGAACCCATAGTCGCAGTTCTTTTTTGTTGTAGCAGCAGTGAAATGATATTTGTGGGAAGATGCTGCTTTCAGTGCCAAAACCCAACAATTTTGTTTTCAAATTCCTGAAAACTAAAAAAGGAAATCTTGGTGCCATAAATGTTCCAGATACAAAATATCCCAAAGTGAACTCATCAACTTCCTCCACAAGCTTGTGCTTCAGTATTTGTTCTATCTGGTTAGCTCCAAGCCCTTCGAAGTTTCCAACTCAGTCTCCCCCTCTGTGAGATGGAGCTGTCAGGGATAACTAAGAAATAGGGGCCTCACGTTCTTCAGCCTCATTCCCCACGTATTCGAGTCTATATTCTGAAATGTCTCCTACCTCGATTCCAGCTCCTCTCTTATCCGAGTGTCTCTTTTCTTACTAAGTATTCTTCAGTCCCTCAGCAGGGCTCCCTGGTTTTTGTTTTGTTTTTACTTATTTGATTGTGATTTTGTTTGAATAACAGATGGAAAGTCAGGCATCTTCCATGCCCTGGTTCACTCCCCCAGGGGCCTGCACCAGCCAGAGCCCAGAACTCAATCTGACTCTCCCAAGTAGATGGCAGGAACCAAAATGATTTGAGAATTCTGGTGTTGGTATCCAGTTGGATTCTTTGCCCATGCTGTTGACAGAATGAAGGACAGGGACAAGAAGGAATGAGGAAAAATGGTTCATTGATTACAAAAGGATAGAAAGGACCAGGCACTCAGAGGGGTTCCTCGAGCAGGGAGGCATTGGCTGGTTTCTATCCTGTTTACTAGGAAACTTTTTGATTGGCTGGCTAAGATGTCAGTTTTGAAAGTAAGATGTGAGCCAATTCTCAGGCTGGTTAACTGTTACTAACTAACCTGTTACTGTCTCATTTCCTACAAGGACTTGCAGATCACCTGCTACCTCCCAGTACACCTTAACAGGGAGCTAGAAGCCAGCGGAGGAAGCGGAACTGGGACCTGAGCCAAGGCATTCTGATCGGACATGCAGCCATCATAGGTCCCATCTTAACTGCTGTGCCAAAGGCGCCTTTTCTGTCACATTTCAAAATTAGCTTCCTAAAATTAACCTATACTATGATTTTGCTTCTGTGACCAGTCTGTGAGTTTTGGTAGATGCGTGTAAAAATCACCACTGTGATCAGAGTGCAGATCAGGCCCCTCAGTCCCCCCAAAAAACCCCGGGGCTGCCCCTTTGCATTTGCACCCTCCCCTGCCTTTTCCACCAGCTACTGCTGATCTGTTCTCTGTCTCTGGACCTCAGCATTTTCCCAGGTGTCATAGTTTGTGGTCCTCTCCTTAAGCACCTGTCCCAAGCCTGTCCATGCCTTGCATCAGGCCAAATGCATGTTTGCCACAGACCTGGAGAAAACATCTAGTTTCTGTGAGCCTCAGCTTCCTTGTTGGTGTGTATCTGGGCAAGACAATGAAGTCCAGAGCAGAACCCATTCTAACACTTTTCTCAGGAGGTTCCTGAGGAAGACAACTTGGTCTGCTAGGGGAGACTCAGAGACCAAGGCAGTCTCTCTGAGGAAGACATGGTGACCTGGAGATACTGGGAAGAAAAAAGGTGCAGGAAGTGTGAAGGAGAGCAGGAGATGGAACAGTGGGAAGAGCTTGGAACTGGGACCATAGCAGAAAACCAGTGGAGGGAGTGGAGAAGGGCAGAGATCTACAGAAGAAGCCCAAGGGGAACTTTGCTGTGGAATGTGCCAGGCATCCTTCCTCTGTGGCCTCAGGAAACCTGCGATGGAGACCTGCCATGTAGGGGGTGTCCTTTGAATGGGCTTGCTATTAAGAGGGAGTCTACAGACCAAGCCCCCACGGTGGGGATCATGCCTTGGCCTTTGTGGTTGGCTTGTCAGGAAGACATTAGGAGATGGCTGGCTGGAACCCTGCTGGGCAGACTCTGTGATCTAAGGAAATGCTGACTCCTTCCCCAACTTTCTGTGCTGCCCCCACCCCTCTTATATCTTGCCCCTCACTCGAAGATTCCCCTAAGTCTTGCTATGTAGTGGGCTGGACATCAGAGCTGACTCCAATCCCGCTTCCCATTAGCTCCTGCTAACATACTGTGTCCTTGACACTTCCCGCCCCACCCCCCCATCTCATGCTCCAGCTGTGTTCATGTCCTTTCTGGAACTCTCCCATCTCCTCCTCATCAGAATTAGCTGCTGCTTTGTATCCTTTTGGTTTTTAATATAAACACAGAAGGCAAGTTTTTAATAATTAATATTCATGTTCTCTCCCTGCTCTAACCTGTGGAAAAGTTGTGCAATTCCTTATCTGATGAGAGTCAATAAATTCCTAAATAATCACAGCCAGTGTGAGGATAGTAAAGGAAACATTTTAAGGCACTTTGTATCTCTTGCTTTTTTATCCTCCAATAGCGTGCTGACAATGGTACAGGTTTTACTCTTCCAGATTTCCTGCAGGTGTGAGTCCATCGGTCTGTTTCCAAACGCTGTCACATGGGCAAAGTTCATACATGACGCTTCTAGGTGTACAGGGTTAGGAGATGGTTCAGATGCACTGGAAAGATGTAAGGACATTGAAAGCCTAGCAGGCTGTTAGTGCCAGAGTGCCCCCCTGGAGGCGGAGCTTGGCACACTAAACCTTGCCTCTTAGCCCCGTCAAAGACTTGGTGAGCTGTCAAAGAGAAGCTGCTAGCAGAAGTACAGAACACAGATGTACTCAGTCCGCCAGGTTGAATGGAATGCACTAACAGTACCTTCCTTGCTCGTGCTAAGATGTAGAGCAAGTCCCTCCAACACATCAACATGTCTGCCCTGTACATCAACCTGGGCCACCTTCACATACTCCTATCTGCTTGAGCACTCTCAGAGGTGAGAGGAGAGGGGCCTGTTTGTGAAACCCGAGCCTCGGATTCCGTTCTTGTGCAAGAACCACATGGCTGACATATGTGCAATCTGTGGCCCACACAAGCCTCTAGAACGTGCCTCCCATCTAGCACCTCCTCAGCAGTCACCCATCTTGTATTTGCATATGTTCCCCTTTCACAAGATCGTGTGGGGTACCATCTGTAGCTGCCTCCTTCTGCAGATCTGGTCCCCTTGGGCAGATGGAGGGAAATCCCAGGGAAGGATCCCTTCTACCCATGAGCTCAATGCCAGAGGTCAGACAGAGAGAGGAAGCAAAGAAAGAACCCCACCAGTGTGCTTCTTCCCACAGAGCCATGGTCTTCAGCAGGAACAGCAGCCACAGTCCCTGCCAGGAGAGGACTTGATGTGTGAAAAGATCAGACACTGATCTTTATTTTCCATTAAAAAAAAATCCTTGTTCCAGTACCCTTCCCTCCAGCTGCTATATGTCAGCCCAGCTCTGGCACAGCTGTAGGTGAGCTGGGCAGCCCTCTGCTCTGACCACTGGGAAATCCTCCCAGGGATATTCCTAACCCATTGCCAGCCACAAGTCTGAAGCCTTCCATGCCTCACTCCACACCCCCCATCCCCCTTTTTTTTTCCTGGCTTCTACGCTTGCTGGATGGAAGCCTGGTGGGAGCCGGATCCTTTAGCCTTCCAGGATTCTCCTAGTTTGGAGCCAGGGCTGCTTGAGCCTGACCTTGGGCTTTAAGTTGAAACCAATGGTTTCAATCCTCTGCTGAAATAAATGGCAACAGAAATGTCAGGAGGCCCCCATGCCATTTGCAAAAATGATGCTGCAATTATCAGTGTGGCAGAGTTTTCTACTTGAAGTCCTATGATCTTGAGTTAAGGATTTGAAGATACTTTTCCAAAATCTATTGAAAATTTCAAGTTAATGAGCTTGTTTACAAGTTTCTGTTGCTTGCAGGAAGCCACTTAGCATATTGCAGAAGATGATACATGTGCACCTGCCCCTTGCCTTGAAGCACATGAACCTAGGACACAGCCAAGCGCATGACCTTCCAGAAGGGTCTGTCCACTTTTGGTGCAGTTCAGCTCCTAGGTTTTTCCATGTTTGGGGACTTCCACATAGGGTACCCAGGGCTCAGCACAACATTGTGGGGTTGGGCCTTGTGCAACAATCTGTAAAAGTGTGATTTTGCATTTTCTCCTCCACTACCCTCAGCCCTACTCCCTAGTTTTGGGGTTTCTTGGTGGAAAACAAGGAGTAGCTGATCTTGTTCAGTCCTGTCTTCATTTGTCAGTTTCCATTAGAATCACCCAAGTAGGATCCTGCACTGTGGCTGCCAAGTAAAGCCTCCTCCACCTACCATTTCTGACCCCGGGTCCTGGTCATGCACTCTGGAAAGCAGTAGAAAATAGCCTAAATATTTGGGCCACTACCACCCATGTGGGAGACCCAGATGACCCTGGTTTTGGTCTACATTAGCCCTGGTTGTTGCAAGCATCTGGGCCATGGACCAGTGCATGCAAGGTCTCTCCCTGTCTCTCTCTCTCTTTCATTCTTTCGAACAAACAAACAAACAAATAATTTCTATAAAAATTACCCTGCAGTGGGTTACAAGTCCAGGCCATGACACAGACAATTTACTTAGAATATCTGATGGAAGAGGGTGGGACTCCACATCATTTGTTTTAAATTCTCAGAAGCTCCTCCAGGCCAAGGCTGCCAATAGCATGTTCATCAGGACACAGGTATCCGTAACCTGGTGTTGACCTCCTGTAGTTAAGAATGACAAAACGAATTCTGTTTTGCTGTTGCTGTAGTTTAAAAGTCAGGTTTTCCATTGGAATGGGAAACAAATGCCAAGTTTATTTTAAAGTACTCTTGATCTGCCTAATACTAGGAAGTGTAGAAAATACAGTCTATTTTTACACTTGAATGCTTACTCCCAAAACAAACCTTACAGCTTTGTCCTTCACCAACGGGGTTCTGTGACTTAGGAGGAATTGAAAATTCTGGGGTCCTACCTGGGATCACAGTGCGAAGGGTGACCTGGAGAGGTGGCTCGTCTCCTTAAGCAGCCTCCTTCTTCATGTTGCTTCTGGGCTGGGAGACACATCTCCAGAAGAAAGCATTCTTAGTCAATTAGGTCAAGTGATTATCTGCTTTAAAAAGAAAATGGCAGGTACCATAAATTGATACTCAGTTAACCACACAGCCACTTTTAGGCTAAGAAAATAAGCACCTATACTGGTACATTGCTTATTACCAGACTGATAAGAGCTGCACAGGCAGGAAGGAGTTGATCTCCCAGACTGGAAAAGGTTAAGTCTTTCTGTTCAAAGAATAGAAACTCTAAAAGCTTGATTGTCATTTGAATTTTATTGAAATCAAAATGTGATTTGCAAGTTAATGACCAGAGGTGCTTGCTTGCGGGTGATGTGCAGTGACTTTGGTTTTGAGATGAGTTTTTCAGGAGAGTGTAAATTACATTTGTTTTGGTATTGGTATTTTTGTTGTCATATTTATTGCCCATTGTTCCTAGTAAGAGTAGTTTTCTGCTCCTAATTACCCAAAAGACAAGAAAAAAAAATAACTAGAATTTTTTCAAAGGAAAATGGGGATGTGTCTTGAAAGCTTCATTAATTGCAAAATGAAGTTAAATGAAGCATTCAATAAAAGTGCTTCTCAGAACCAATGGAGGATTTCTCAGAAAGGAGTCCGTTACAGCTGGACTCCGAGGCAGTGGAAATCCCAGGAACAAAAGCCAAACGCATGGGAATCGACTTTCAAAAGAATCTTCGAATATGTACAGCTCAGTCATTTACAAATTGGAATGGGATCATAGGATGTTTTAAAATCTGGTCAACTAGAATGGGATAATAAATTTAACTTGCGTGGACCAAACACATTCAATTCTAGCTATTACTGTATTTTTACTACCATTTATTAAGCGTTTTCTGTGAGCTGGGACCTGTGTTTCATATCTCCTTGGATGATTACAAGGATTCAGGGCTTTTACAGAAGCCGTTAGTAGGTCATAGAAGCATCCAAATGCTGGTGTTTGGTGTTTTAAGCAAGTACATTTTGTAGTTACATGTGATGTACTATTTGATGTGTTTTGAAGCTAACCTATAAAAGAATATTTTCATGTCATTGACGTGCTTTATAAATTGTATCTCCCTTCAGGAGGTAGAAAAGAAAGAGAAAGGAATTTGCTTTCTTTATTTTTTTAAACCATGGGCAAGAATGTGTTTGGGCAAACCATTTTCAGAGCAAGTATGAGCCTTGTATGTAAATGTGAGTTCTTAAAACTTGGAAACAATTCTGATAACTTTCTGGGGTGTTCTTTGGCATGTGAGAGAAATAACTTTGTGGGCTGGAATTTCACTTTAAAGATCATCAGAAATGCAGCTTACATATCATTATAGGGAGTCCCATGTTTAATCCTAACTATACCTATGATAGCCTTACCTGAAATGAGTTAATGAATCAGATAACATCAATACCCTTTTGATCAACTACAAACATAAGTTTCCCTGAGAAGTATTAAGCTAACCTTCAGCAACAGGAACTGTAGACTACAGTCAAGTTATAATTCCGAAAATTGATAAATTTAATAATATTGGTTGCTACATTGCACTAATTTTGTTTGATCTCTTTTGTAAGAACATTTTGTTGGTATTTATATAGAAAGATACAATATGTTAGGGAAATTGTTAATGGAGTATTGGATAGGGTAATAATAATAATTGTAAAAAGCTAACTAGCAACAGCTGAACAAATAGGTCATCAGCCTCGGGTAGAAATGTTATCCTTTCGCTTTTCTGAATAAGTTAAAATAACTGGTTTGGGGAAGTATTCTACAATAACATTTCCTCCCATTCTTTTCATTTTTTAATTGTAAAATGCCTTTAACATAAATTTTATCATTTTGACTATTTTTAAGTATGTAGTTCAAGGGCAGTAAGTATTTTCACATTGTTGTATAGTCATAACCACCATCTATATGCAGGTAATTTTTTTCATTTTTTCAAATAGAAATTTGGTATCTATTAAACAATAAGTAGCAATAACTCTCCATTCCCCTCTACCTTAACCCCTGGTCTCTATCATTCTACTTTCTGTGTGTGAATTTGACTACTCTACATAACTCATATCAGTGGAACCACCTTTGAGGCTGGCTTGGTTCACTTAGCATAATGACTTCAAAGTATATCCATGTTGTGACATATATCACAATTTTCATGCTTTTTAAGGTAAATGTTCATTTCACAATTTTCATGCTTTTTAAGGTAAATGTTCATTTGTATGTAGTATTACAGCTGGTTTATCCATTCATTCATTGATGGACAGTTGGCTTACCTCCACCTTTCAGATATCAAGAATAATGTTATCATGTTGTCATAATAATGTTATTATGAACAAAGATCTGTTTGCGTCATTGGTTTCTGTTCTTTGGGGTATATACTCAGATGTGGAATTTCTGGATCAAATGCAAATTCGATTTTTAAGGTTTTGAAGAGCCACCATACTGTTTTCTTCGACAGCGGCACCATTTGACATTCCCACCAGCAGTACACAAGATTTCAGTCTTTCTACCTCCTTACCAAGATTTATTCTTTTTTCTATTTTGTTAAAAAGCCATATTAATTGCTATGAAGTGAAGCCCCATTGTGGATTGTTTTGTATGTTCCTACTAATTAGCAATGTTGAGCATCCTTTTCTTATGTGCTTGTTGGCCATTGTCTTTTTTTGTCTGTTCAGTTGTTGGCCTGCTTGTTGGCTTGTTTTGTTGTTGAATTGTGGGAGTTCTTTATACCAGATGCACAGTTTGCAAGTACTGTCTTTTCTCGAGCCTCAGAGAGGCGTTTCTTCTGCTGAGTGCCTTGTGTGAGGTTAGGACTGAACTATGTGTATTTGATTTATTTCTATTATGATTAAGGTTGTGAAATTAGTGAAGCTAAACCTGAACTCATTTTCCTTATTGTGTTCTGCTATGAAAGCTTACATGCTCTGTGTTGGTCCTGCTGTTCTAATGACCACATGGAATGTTACAGTGAACAGTATTGTATGTGTCCTTTGGTGCCTAACGCATGCATTTCTTTTGCTGCGTGATCCTAAGTAATGAAATCATTGCAGGCAGAACATCAAGCCGTTTTCCGACGCGGTTCTCTCAGTTTACCCACTCGCCAGCAGGGCATGAGAGTTCCTGCTGCTTTGCATACTCTCCAAACTTAGAATTGTCAGGCTCTTTAATTTTAGCCATGATAGAATCACATTGTGGGTTTGATTTGCATTTCTCTGATTACTAGTAATCTTTTCCTGTGTTTATTGGTTAACCTCTCCTGTGAAGTGCCTCGTCAGGTCCCTTGTCCATTTTCCCACTGTCTAGCTCATGAATTTATGGGAGTCCCTGACAGTTCCTGGCTAGGAATCCTTCATTCATTATTTTGTTGGAAATATCTTCCCTGGCCTTGTGACTTTTCTTTCTATTCTCTGAACAGCATCTTCTGATGAAAAGGGTTTCTTAACTTTAATGTAGTCTTATTTATCATTCTTGGTCAATGCTTGCTGTGTCTTGTTTGGAGATTTTTCCTACCCTGAAGGCCATGAAGATTTTCTTTTATGTTAATTTCTACAAGTTGTATCATTTGCCTTTCACATTCACATCTACATAATGCACCTGGAATTGAATTATGTGAATGATTTCAGCGTAGGGGGCAGGTTGAGTTTTCTTTTTTCTCACATGAAGATGCAGTTGACCCTTCTATTTTTCTAGAAGGCAAATCCTTTTATATTTTTTTTCTTTCTCTAATGCTTTTTGGTTTTTGAATTTTCAAAAATTAGGTGCCCTTATATATCTGTTCAGGGGCTCTTTATTCCACTGATTTGCTTACCTACGCTTGTCTCACCGTCATAGTGTTGTAGTAAGTCTTGATAGTGTAAAAGTTATTTGTGACACTTGTTCACAACCGCAAGGGGGGCTTCATTCAAGGGGAGACCCTTCTGATGCATGCAGGATCATCGTAACAGGCTCTGCAGTGGGACACAGATTGGACTTGACTTTCGCTGTAACAAGGACAAGTGAAGTTTATAACCAAGGATCCGGGTGGGGGTCAGTTGGTAGAAAATCACTGACACGTTACAGCAGGACCGTGGATGAGCTGCAATTTGACTGCGCCTGTGGAATTCAGAAGGCAGGGCTGGGCAGTGCTAGCCTATGTCTGAAGGGTGGGAGAGTCTACCTCCATTGACTCTGGTTCTTACTCACATGAATTCTACAGGAACGGAGAAGAAGCCAACACACTTGGGAGCCAGATTCAAGTGTTATCGAAGAAGTGAATCTTTACTGATGTGTTTGTAAAGTAGGATGAGGCCTGGTTTCATTTTGTTTGCTTCAAGTGTGTCTTGGTTGTAGTTGACCTTTTGGGCTTTTATGTAACTTTCAGAATCAACTTATCAAGATCCACAAAAGTATTTATGGAGATTTTGATTTGAATAGCATTCCTTACTGATAATTTCTTAATAGAAACCATTTCAAGGAAGCAGGTGGGGGCAGGGTCATGATAGAAAAACAAAACCAAAGGGATGAATGAGCGAAGATAGACTTATGCCATCACCAGCCAATGTTTAGAGATCTTAAAATATATCTGTCCTTGCTTTTGAGTGACACAGAGACGCTAAGTGTTTTTCAAGGGACCATGCCTTCAAGAATCAAATATTTATCTCCCCAGCATGTTTCTGTACAGTGGGTACAGTGAAGGAATAAGTTGTCCCAAGTTCCCATGTTAGAGTTGGTTCTGCAAATATGGCTACTTAAAAAATTTTACACCCTTCCTTTCCCTGGCCTGGTTCCCTTTTTCTGCCCTGTTACCTGGACAAGGGTGGTGCGTGAGAAAGTTGGTCGATGGGAAAAAGAGCCCAAGAAGTGGGGGGTGGAATTTCCTGATTCCCAGGGAAGCTGAGCCCTTTTGTAAGAACAAACTTTACTGTGTTTGTTTCTTCCTTTATTCACCAACAGATATTAATAAGTGCCTTTTGTTGTCAGACACTGTTCCTGGTTGTGGGGGAACGAGGCAGGCAAAAGCCATTGGTTTCTGTGCTTAATTCTAATTGTCATGAAAGTCAATAAACAGTTAAATGTGAAATTCAGTGTTGGGCAATGATAAATTGTCTAGCAAAGAAAAGAGTGGACCGGGAGTGTTAGAAAGAAGCAAGGAGGGAGTCTTGTGGGAATAAGAAGCCTCATGGGTATTTAGCAGTGGACTTTCTAGACAGAAGGCAAGTTGAAGGCCCTGAGCCAGAACCTGACATGGTCAGAGAGCAGTGAAGGGTGGCAGAGTAAGGTAGGGAAAATGCTGGGACAGGATATGGAGGGAAGCAGCCCTAGCCGGATCCAAACCCCAGAGGCTTCCAGTAACACTCATGCTGGAATCCATCCTTAGAGCACAGGCTCCCAGGCCACACAGATGGAGGAAAACCTTATCCCCTGGTAGTTCTATCTGCTTCATTAGTGGTGGTATGGTAAGGAGATCACATGTGAGAATTTGAGTATATCCAGTATGGGGAAAGTATTATTTAGAAATCCTCAAAAAGTACACAGGCCCAGTCAGAGTTTACCAGCAGTCTCAAAACCAGCATAGGAAATCACAGGTTATAAAAGGGATCTGTTTTGGCCAGTTCAGAACTTGGAGAGGAAAAATGTCTTTCCCTCCTTCCTAATCTTAAGGTAAATAAGAAAAGAATGAAAGTCTTGAGGATATGCATTGTTAAATGCCTTTCTAGATTCTTTTTCTTGAAAAGAAAATACAGCTTCAAGTGTCTCTCAACAGTCTTAGTTCATTTTTATCCCCCTCCTTACCTTTATATGGTCTCAGATACCCACACAATTAAGAAACAGGAAGCATCGTGGTGAAAAACAAACTTGCACCTTCATTTGCTGTTATCATCTGCAGGATTGAGAACAGGCAGTGAAGTCAGAGCCCAAGGCTTTTGAGGGGGTCAGAGTTGGGGTGTAGCCACAGTTGTTCATCTTCAGCCACAGAAGGTTAGAGCTGGAAGGGATCTCAGTCACTTTATCCGGGTCCTTTAAGTCATAGACAACCAAAGTAGGATTTAAAGAGTTCCAAGACAGTACCAGAGGTTGGGCAGCAAAGTGATGGGTGCAGTAACAATGAAGGATAGATATTTCTTTAAAAGAGAAAGAGAGAAAGAGAAAGCGAGAGAGCTCCCATCTGACTCCCCAGATGACCACAGTGGCCAAGGGTGGTCCAGGCTGAAGCCAGGAGCTTCATTCAGATCTCCCATGTGGGTGGCAGGGACTCAGGCACTTGGGCCATCTCCATTGCTTTCCCAGGGAAAACAGGGAGCTGGGTCTGAAGTGGAACAACAAGGACGTGAGCCAGTGTCCACATGCCCACCTTGGATGCCAGGATTGCCGGCAGTGACTTAACGTGCTGTGCCATAATGCTGGCCCCTTGAAGGGTCAGTTTTTGATGAACTGAGCTATGTTAAATTCTTAAGCTAGGGCCATAACTCTGACACAGGAGTAGAAAAGGATTGAAGAGATTTTGTTTTGTTTAAATGGATAGGCTATTTTAAAAGGAGAAACTATTTCTTTTTATGTTTTATTTTTGAGAAAATAATTATGTTTATTTATGAGGCACAATGTTACATTTTTATTTATCTGTATATCATAGAAAGATTCAGTTAAGCTGATTAAATATACATCACTTCACCAAGTTGGTGTGGTGAGAATGTTAAAAATCTATTGTTTTAGAATTTTTGAAATATTTAACACACTATTTGATGATTAGATCTGTGCATTATTAATGCATTAGATCACTGAAATTTACTCCTCCAGGGTAACTGGTACTTTGTACCCTTTAATCAAATTTTTTCTTTCCCCATCCCTTCTCTCTCCCCCTCCCCCGGGCCTCTTATAGCCACCTTTCTACTCTGTTTCTGAGATGGAATTTTCTAGATGACACATATGTGTGAGATCATGCAGTGTCTTTTTGTACTTGTATTTTTTTTTTCACGGAGCATAATGTCCTCCATTTCTGGCCACGTCATTGAGAATGATGGAATTTCCTTCTATTTAAAAGCTCTGTACTGTCGCATTGTGTATGTATACCACATTTTCTTTATCCATTCATTCACTGGCAGACACTTAGATTGCTTCTGTGCCTGAGCTAATTATGAATCGTACTGAGATGGCAGTGCAGCAAATGGGCTTTACACACTGATTTTCATTGCTCTGAGTAACTCGAAAGTGGGATTGCCACATCACATAGTGCTTCTATTTTTAGTTTTCTGAGGAACTTCCTTAATATTTTTCAAAATGGTTAATTTCCATTCCCACCAACAATGAATTCCCTTTCTCATCAACACGTGTTATCGCTGATTTTTCTGCAATAGCCTTTCTAACAGGTGAGTGGTGATAATGTGGTTTTGATTTGCGTTTCTCTGATGATTGCAATGTTAAACATTTGTTTTCACAAATCTGCTAGCTGTTCATATCTCTTCTTTTGAGACACATCTGTTCAGATTCTATGCCCATTTTTAAATTGGGTTATTTGTTTTCCTACCCGTGAGTTGTTTGAATTCCTTATACAGTTTGGTTATTAGCACCTTATCAGATATATGATGTGCAAATATTTCTCATGGTAAATTTATTTAGGTTTCCTCTAACTCCAGCTGGTAAGGATAAATTGTACTTACTAATTTGCCTTTCCTGGACATGTTTGTGAACAGTTCTCTTAAAGCAGTCAGTTGAATCTAAAAGGAACATTTGAATGGCCTTGGAAATTCTTAGCAGGCTGACTGGGCTCTGATATGAGAAAGTTTACATGATGCATTTTCCATGAATATTGGTAAAGTGGTTTTGCAGCAAATCTAGCCAAGACAGAATATTCTCACTATAGCATTAGTAGCCTCTCTCTTCATGAATCCATTTTATGTTTCCTGTATTTGCCTATAAAAGTTATCACTTTAAAGCCATCCTTTCATAGAAAATGGAGTCGATATCTATTTCCATATGAGATATGTGTATCTGTCTCATTATAAAAATGTTGCTGCATTACCAAGCCCTCCTAAAAGGTTAGAAAGCCTATTTTTGATTCCTATCTTTCCTGTGTTTTTAGACTAGATCATAAACAAGCTATATTGCAAAGGGACGACCAAGAGATGTACAGCAGACCCAGCCTCAGAAATATAAATTGAATTCATAGGCAGTGAGATTGGATAATTAGGTTTTATATTTAAATATCTCCTCAAACCAGAGGAGTCTGCTGCCTTAGATAGAGAATGGAATTGTGTTTGAATCCTAATATCTCAAACAATTTAGTGGAAACTACCTGATTTGTAAAATCTGCTATGTGCATATTTTATTTATTCCTTTTCCAGCATGTGAAATAAAATGTCAGCTGAAGTCTTAAGTTTCAGATCACACGAATCATTTGTACTTACAATTCTTGGTTTTAACTGTTGTTGATACAGCAAAAGATACTCCTATTGATCTGCTGTCTGCCCTGTTTTTTTGTTTGGTTGGTTGGGCTTTTTTTTGAGTTATTGTTTGAAACTCAGAAAATATTTTTCTGCTTTCTATCTGAGAACAACTAAGTTTGATGTTTACCTAAGTTTTTGTGTGTTTTTAAAGGGCTTTTTTTTTTTAACTTGAAAGATAGATTTTACAGAGCAAGAAGGAGAGATAGAGAAAGTCTTTTATCCACTGATCCACTACCAAAATGGCTTCAAAACCAGAGCTAATCTGGGAGCCAAGAGCTTCTTCTGCATCTCCTATGGGAGTACAGGATCCCAAGGATTTGGGCCATCCTCTGTTGCTTTCCCAGTCTATAAGCTGGGAGATAGATCAGGTGTGGGGCAGCTGGGACACCACACAGCATCCATATTAGGAAGCAGGCACAAGACAGCAGATTAGTTTGCTATGCTACCACATTGGCCCCTAAATTTTTGCTTTTAATCCAGCTGTTGTTATTCACTGCAGAAGGCATCTTTAAAGCTCTGTGTAGATAAAACAGTAAAAGATAGGAGTCTATCAAATGTCTGCTGATGTTAAGTAAACACATGTTAGTGTCCTTTGTGGTGGCCAGAATTGAGTACCTGATCTCTGTCGTTCTGTATCAGCAGATGTGTATTTGGATCTCAACAGTTTTTTTTTTTCCCCTTGGTTACATCATGGCCCTGGGGAGAGCATCCTGTCTGAAATGTGCTGACCTTTCCCACCTGTGGGTCTGTCACTGCCATTCTGCACAACATCAGCAAATGAAACTGCCCCTTCTTGTGGAATCCTTGTTTCCACTGAAAAAAGCCTGAGAATGGGGTGGACCTAAATAAATGCAAGCAGCACTGTCTCTCACACTCATCTCTGTAGCTTGCTTTTAAGCAAGGAGAAACCAGAAGGACACACCTCTGGGCACCCGCTCTGTGGATTGTGCTAGGATTTCATCAAGACTGGGATCTTTGCCCTTCTCTCTACCTCCTGTCATAAATCTATGTTGCAAAGGAAAGAAAACGGATGGTTGTTACAGCATAAACCTCCAGGTCAGCTCTTGTTATATGATGTCCCAAACCTGCTGTTGAACCAAATGCAAGATTGGTTTGAAATAACTGAGCCGTTCATTGCCTGAGGATAGGAAATCTCTGTTGTAGTGGTGGTTGGTTGGTTTCTGTGTGGGTGTTTGCTTATATATCACGTGGGATGCATTTGGAGTAACATTTGGCTTGAGGGGACAGCTCATGGAAAGTTGCAAAACACAACAAGGTGCCCTAAAACTAGAGAATGTTGGGCCAGGCTACTCCATCCATACTTTCAGAGCTGTTCTGATTCAGGTGTGGTTTCTTTCAGCTGTTGGAAGTTTTCAGCATCAGATCAAGTTTTCCTTCTTGCTCCCCAATCCCTCACATGTTCATTGGCCATCTGTTCCTTACAGTGTTCCCTGATGTCCATAACAACATGTGTCTCTTTGTCATTCATCTGGGGAATGAAGGTTAATGATGATTTATGCCCCATTAATTGGTATTTGCCAATTATATTTATTATTTTATAAGAACTCCAGGGACTAGGAAAGGAGACGAGTATCTCATTTTTATTCACCACAGCTTTAGAAAAAGGACCATTTTGGTGTAAATGTTTTGATATCTAAAATATACGGTCCTTCGTCTTCTTACTAAATGGTAACATATATGAGTAAAAACTTACGGCATATTGGCGAGCAATTTCTTAGTTGGATTTGTTCTTCTATGTTGATTTTTTTTTTTTTTTGAGTAAGAAACATGCTCAGAATGTAAAAGGTCTGCCACGTCAGCAGTGGGGCCTTCTCTTGGATACTCAGTG